TTAACAAAAACTGGGGTGAGAAGGGAGAGAAAAAAAGGGATGTTTAGGAACACTGATTTCGTTTTACAGCCAGGGGTCGAAATACCACATGGAAAGCTGCTAAAAAATCAAGTATAGAAGTATGTATAAAAATATTTAATAGAAAAGAAGGAAACTAAAGAAAGATAAAATTGTTTGACATTGGGTACAGAGAAGGAGAAGATGTCAAGAAAAAAGAGGAAAAGCACTATATTATCATCGTTCAGAACAGGGAGTCAGCAAAAGAGTCTGAAGAAATAGAGGACTGAGAGTATTGTACAGATTATGAATATAAAGGCAACTGCTTGAAGGAAAATACAAACCTTCCAAATGGCCAGGAGAAACACGCCTAAAACACAGCAAAGCAAACACAAAGCACGTAAGGCAAGAGTAAAAAAAGAACTAAAAAGGCTATGAAAACATAGCATGAAATAACATAACTGTCACACGAATAGGGCTAAACTCCTCTACTCCAAGAAAAAAAGACCTGCAGACTGAATCACAAAGCAAAAGCTGGTGCTCCATTCAAGGGATTTACCTAAAACAAAGGCTCAGAAAAGATGACAATAGACGGGCAAAGGCATATTGGACCAACGCAAACAGCTCAGCAGGCTTGTCACAGTGTCAGACAGCTGTGAATTCAGGCAAAGGGCAGAAACATTAAATGAGACAAGAAAGGTCATTTTATAATGAAGAGGGACAATGTACAGGAATATAAGAGGGATATTTGGGAACAAATAATATAGCATCATCATTTATAATGCAGGACTCCAGAGAAATAAAAACACAACAGTAATAAATTCAATTTACTTCTCTTGGACCACATCAGGTCAAAATACATGTAAGGACACAGAAGACCTACATGGCGTAATAAATAAGCTATAGCTCATTGACACATTTCCGAATCTGTAGGCTAAACACAGAATATGCATTCCCCTCGAGAGCCTACAAAAGTCACAAAAATTGACCCTATTTTGGGCCACAAAGAAAAAGACAAACTCAAATATTTCAAAAATACAAAGTAGTTCAGACAACATTGATCTCTGATCACAATGAGATAAAACTAAACATTTATAAGAAAATCAGAAACAAAAGACCCTAACGCTTGGAAGTTTTAAAACTCTCACACTCTCTCTTCAAATCTAGAAACACGACATCAGAGACAAGTCAGAACCAAAATTTTAGAATAGCTACAAAATAACAGTAATGGAGATACTATCTATCAGAAATTATGGGCTATAGCTAAAGTAGTACATATCTATATCTAAAGGCCGAGTCTTAACCTTAAATACTCACATTTACAAAAAGAATTGAAAAGCTAAGCATCCAACTCAAGAAGTTAGAAAAAAAGTACAAAAATAACCCAAAAGAATGCAGGAAAAAGGAATTAATAAAGATAAAAGCAGAAATTGGGGCTGGCCCCGTGGCCGAGTGGTTAAGTTCACGCGCTCCGCTGCAGGCAGCCCAGTGTTTTGTTGGTTCGAATCCTGGGTGCGGACATGGCACTGCTCATCAAACCACGCTGAGGCAGTGTCCCACATGCCACAACTAGAAGGACCCACAACGAAGAATATACAGCTATGTACCGGGGGGCTTTGGGGAGAAAAAGGAAAAAAATAAAATCTAAAAAAAGAAAAAAAGATAAAAGCAGAAATTAATTAATTAGGAAACAACAACAAACATGGTAGAACTGAAAAATAAATCTGACAGCTGGTTCTTTGAAAAGAAAAATACAATTTAAAACAGTAACAATCAATAAAGCAAAAAATAGACAAAATAAGAAATTAGGGGGAAATTAAAAAGTTCACAAAAGACTGCTTTTCTCAACTTTATGCAAATACACTTGAAAACCTGGATGAACTAGATAATTTATTTTAAGGAAAATATAATTTATCAAAATTAATTCTAAAAGTTAAAAAAATCTAAGTGGTGAAATTACCACAGAAGAAATAAAGAAGGTTGTCAAAGAGTTACTCTCCCCACAGAAAGCATCAGGCCCAGACATTTTCAACTGGATAACGATCAGACCTCAAAGAACAGAAAATTTTCATGCTACATGTTCCAGAGTAAAAGGAAAGAATAAAGGCTTCCAAATTTCCCCCCTCCAAGAGCCCAACAAAGACACATTCCTTTAAACAAGGAAGCTGGGTTTTTTTTCTTCCCTAAAGTTCTAGTACCTAGTTGTATATTCTAGTTGTAAGTCCTTCTAGTTCTTTTATAGGAGCCACCACCACAGCACAGCTACTGACAGACAGGTGGTGTGGTTCTGCACCCAGCAACCAGGGCTGGGTTGCTGAAGGGGAATGAGCAAAACTTTAACCACTAGGCCATCAGGGCTGGCTCAAAAGCTTCCAAATTTTTTATGATCTGAGCATAACATTGATTCTGAAAACGAAACAATGGTAGACATTCAAAAAGAAAACTATGGCCCATTCTCACTTTTGAATATCAACATAAAAATCCTAAAGAAATAATGTATTAACAAACAGAATCAAGCTGCGTGTTAAAAAAAAGAAAACATGACATGTAAGTTTATTCCAGGAATCAATTAGATTTTTTTATTAGGCATTTATTACAACTAAGACTCACTATTCCAGTGTTAGGAAATCTGCTCTCTCAGGGCTGCTGAGGCTGCAGGGCCCAGGATGGATGTCTCCTCGGCCCCCTCCCTGTGCAGTGAGGCAAATTCTCTGATCTTGAGGCTCAGTCCTCATTTTCACTGCAGTTTTCATCAGTCAACTTCTGAAACATAGAACACTCCCCCACCCCCACGGCCCCTGTGCTCTGTGTTTCTTGCTCCTGATCTAGCTCTCCACAGCTCCCCTCTCTGCACCCCTCCCCCTCCTCCCTCACCCCTCCGCAGCCCACCTCCCAACCCTTCCTGTCCTGACCTAGAATCCTCTGTAACTTCTGCCCCACAACCTGCAAAGTCCCCTCCATCCTCAAGCACTCGGAGTGGTTCCACTTCTCTACTTCTGCCTTGACTGAAACACAGACCTCCCTGAGGAGACCTGAGCGTCCTGTTCTCTAAAGGGCCAGACCACACCTCCCCTCCACTCTTGTCCAAAGTCCTGCTTCTTTAAGGTTTCAATCATTTAACTTTACCACCCTCTCCCCTTCCTGATGTCTCTCTACTTTCTTATTCACTGAAGACATCACTCACAGTGACGCAAAAAGTGTCCTGCCACGTGTATGGGTGGTCTCCACATCCGTGTGTGTGACTTTGGCCTCTCCATTCACTCCACTTCTCCACCAGGGCTGCCCTGGGCACTGCACAATCAACATAAGGGTACTAGGTGGCCTACTCCACATTAGCCATCCATCCTCACATCCCGACCTGGTCCTCAGTGACCATCTCTGTTCTCTTACCAGAAGCTCCTCTCCAGCTTAGTTTTTCAATTACTCCAGTAAGATCAATAAATCTCTGATCCTCATCAAGACTCCCAGTCTGTTGAACCCACTACTTTCTCCCAACCGTTCAGCTCTCTCCCTCCTTTACTTCTCTTTTTACTCAGCTTAGATCCCACCGTCCGCCGTTCAGCGTTTGATATACCTACACACACCCCCCCACCTGCCCATCTTCACAGGCAACTTCCTCTCTTCCTTTCTAGAGAAAATTCCAACTTTTCTCTACCAAACCAAACCTTTGCCCCTCTTCTTTCTTTCTTTCTTCAGAAGAAAAAGAGAGGTTGTTGCTGTTTAGGCCGAGGTTTCTCAACTTCAGCACTATTGACATTTTGGGCTGGACGATTCTTTGCTGTGGGGGCTGTTGTGTGTGTTGCAGGATGTTTAGCAGTGTACCTGGCCTCTACCCACTGCATGCCAGTAACATCCCCAGTTGTGACAGCCAAAAATGTCTCCAGACTTTGCCAAACTCTCCTGGGTGGGGGAAAGGAGCAAGTCATGCTTGATTGAGAACCGCTAGTCTGAGCTCAGCCCTCCGTTTGTGCTGGGGCCTCTGCCTCCTCCTTCACACATATGCAGTCTTTTCAGGCATCATACAGTATGAAATAGCTTTTTCTCTCCTGTATAGTCAGCAGCTCCCTCTCAACTGGATTCTTTTCATAAATATTTGAACATCTTTAAAAAAATCCCCCTTCAACAACACTTCTACCTCCGGTCACCAGTACCTCTCCTTCCCTCTCCCATCACATCTTGCAAGAGTTGGTATTTTCCCCACCTCCATTCCTTCTCATTTGATCCTCACTCCCTCAAAGATGACTCAAGGCCCTGTCATTCTGCCCCTGCAGCTTTCAGTAAGGTCTTAAGTGACTTCCATGTCCATAAATGCAGTTGACATTTTTCAGCCCGTGGACATAAGGCACAATGGAGGAGAACCAGACTGAGGGAAGGAAAGATGCTGAGTTTGATCCTGATCCTGTTGAATTTCAGGTGTCTCAGAGGCATTCTAGAGGAGAAGTTGGAGGACATTGAGACAATGTGGGTTGGAGTAAGAGGGGAGGTCAGGGCTGGGACAGAATATATCTAGGTCTCTAGCAGTATGCCTAGAGTCCCACGGGTATGTGTCTAGCTAATGCCATAGGCGAGATGAGGTCTCTTGGCAAGGGAGAGAGGGGTTGTAATACAGCTGTTCTCAAACTTGAAGGTACAGTACTTCAGAATCACCGGAGGGGCTTGCAAAATGCAGATTTCTGGGCCCCACACCCAGAGTTTTTAATACAGTAAAAACTGAATAGTATTGCTAGGATGGAGAATTTCTACCAGGTTCCCAGATGATGCTGAAGCTGCTGGTCTGGGTACCACATCTTGAGAACCACTGATCTAGAGGGAGGAGAGGGGGCGCACGGCTCGGGTGGGGCGCTCTAACATTTATTAGTCGGAGGCGGAGGTAAGCTGTTGACAGAAGCAAGAGAAGCTCGGGGAGAGGAAAGACCATCAGCGGCCGGCGGATGGAGAGCGGCCGAGGGTGAAGATGCAGAGGCCTCTGGACTACATCTCCCAGGGAGCCCTGCGCCGGCTCGCGCCCGCCCCCTGCAGGCGGTTCGGGGAGGCGCCGGTCGGTTCCCGGGGACCTTTCGCTCAGCATCTGGGAGCGCCGGGAGCGCGGCTGCTGCGGCTGCGGCGGCGCCGCGGGACCTGAGTGGAGCGGGTGAGTAGGCGCCGCGCTGGCCGCCTGGTCCTCTCCGTCTCCGTTGCGTCGTCTTCTCGGGTCCGGCGAGCCAGCATGGGGGTTCAGGGGTCCGAGCGCAGGGGCGCAGGACTGCCCCTCTGAGAGGGAGGACGCGCTGCCGTCGTCGCCTTGGTGGCCCGGGTCCCCCTCCGCCCAGAGGGTCCCGCCCCTGGCCCGGACCGAGGTCCTGTCCTGTCCTGCCCACCCAGCCAGGAGCGGCGGGACGGGTGCCGCAGGTGGCAGCGGCAGGTGGCCGCCCCCTCCCCGCCGGGCTCCGGGAGGGAGGGCCGGGTGACTCCCGACGACTGCGGCCCTGGGAGGCGCCCCCAGCCCTCGCCGTGGTGGGGCAGGTGCATGGGCGCGCCGGGCCGAGACTCTCTGGCCCCTGTGTGCCTCCCGCGCCCTCCCTGGTGCTGTCCTGGGGGTGCTGTGTGGTGTCGGAGACCGCGTAGCCCTTGGCCGTCCTCGGCGTCCACAGAGCCCTCGTTCCCCTCTTGCCCTGGGGTGACCGGGGAAGGGCGCGGGCTGTGCGTCTCCCGGGTCGGCTGGCGGTGCCACAGCGCAGTGCACCTGGTGAGCCCTGGGGACCGTTTGGACGCTTAGGGGTGGCCCGGGGATGCGGAGCCCGTCAGGAGTGCAACGGGAACAGCCTCCTTTCCAAATACCTTCGAAATAAAATTAGTTTGATGTGCTTATCTTTTCTTAAAGGAAGTTTGACCCTGAATAGCTTATTTTTATTTTGTGGGAGCTCCATTTGCCCTCACGTAAGTTTATGTAATAAGCAGTATACGGTTTGAAAAAAATATCACAGTGAAGGTGCTCTTCTTTGCCCTCTATCGGAAGAATTATGTTGGCCTGGTTGACGTGCTTATCCATCAGTAACTGCGGGAGCTGGAGGCAGGAGATAAAGTGTTTTGGAGTGGAGTCACAACTCAACCCTTCGGAACAAATTTGGTTTTAGAAGATTTTTGTTATTCAGTTTCAAACAAGATGTTGCAACGTTTAAGATGGGGGAGGAGGGAGGGAGCAAAAGCTTGTCAATCCTAATACCTTACTCTACAGAAAATAGCTTTGCATAATTAACTCGCAAGGCAAGCAGATTTAATTTGGTCGCCAAAACAAGATCTAAAGCACAGCCTCCATACTAAACTCTGTTAGTTTTAATAGTTTTTCAGTTGATTTGTTTGGCTGTTCTAGGTAGACAGTCTTATCTACTGTTAAGAAACAACAGAGGTCTCTTTCTAATGTTTGTACTAATTATTTCTTTGTCTTCCAATGATCACCCTCTCTACAGCGTTGACTATTAAGGTTAAATAGGACATTTTTGTCTAGGTTTTAGGGGAATGCTCCCAGTGTATCTTTCACTAAGTTCATTCTCTATCATATTGTTAGTTTCCATCTTGTTGATTTTTTTCCCCAAAATGCTTTGGGGGGAAAATACAGCTTGTATTGATATGACCATGTAGTTTTCTTCTTCAAATTGTTAACATAAGTGATTAGGCTGCTAAATTTTCTGTCTCTAAAATCCTGGGATAATTTGAAATGCACTTTTGGGTTGTTTGATAGATTCAATTAGCTAACATTTTATTTAGGGTTTTGGTATCTATATTTATAAGTGTTTGGTATCCATATTTATAAGTGTGGTATCTATACTTATAAGTATTTCCTCCCCCCCTCCCCGTTTTTGACTGAGCTTGTAATTAAGGTTATGTTGTCCTCACTGATTAAGTTGGGAAACTTTCCATCGTTTTCTGTGCTCTGGAGCAGAAGAATTGTCTGTGCCTTGAAGTTTGGCAGACTGACTAGAGAGCGCCTGGCTGCTGGTGGTGTGTTTTTTAAGAAGTTGCTATCAGTATTTGACTACCTTTTCAGTTTTTTCCGTGATCATTGGTTTTTCTCAGATTTTCTGTTTCTTCAAAGTCAATCTAATACTTTATATCTTCCTGGAAAATCATTAAGATTGTTGAAATTTAATATATGTTAGCATAATGTATATAGTATTCTGTTGTAAGAAAATAAACTCTTCCGTATGTGTGGCTTGTTCTCTTTCTTGTTCATACTTTGGCTTGTGCCTTTTCTCTTTTTTAATTGGTCAGACTTGCTTATTTTATTAGACTTTTCAAAGAACCAGCTTTTGGATTTATTGATTAATCCTATTGATTTTTATTTTTCTATGTCATTAATTTCTGGTTTTTATGTTTCTTTTCGCATAACTTGAGTTTATTTTATTCAGGTTCTAGCCTCTTGAATTGAGAGCTTAGATCATTTATATAATCAGTCAGCCTTCCTCCTGAACAAGGCAAGGACTTCTCATTCTTCCATTCCAGTCTCTCCCATTTGGCCTTAGCTCTATTTTTACTTTAGTCCTTCGAATTAGACATTATTGTCGTGTTATTATTATTTTGTAGATCAATGTTTGTTATATTTATCTACGTGTTTACCATTTTCTTCACTCTTCATTCCTTCTTGATCACAGATACTCTTCTTTGGATCATTTCCCTTCTCCCTGAAGTACATTCTTAGAAGTTTCTTCAATGATGATACATATTCTGTTTTTATACCATCTGAAAATGTCTTTATTTTGCCCATTCTTGAATTTTGGCTTCACCAGCTTTCTCTATTCCATTGATTTCAAAGTTATTTTAATATTTTTTTCTAGCATTTTTTGAAGATATTTTGTTGAGATCTCTATTCTGCCATATTGCTGAAAGAAAGATGAAGATTAAAAATGAAAATTAATTTGTAGTCTAATGAACTGGCAGTTTTAGTGACTTTTCCCTGTACAAAGTTATATATTTATCTCACATTTGTCAATTATAATTTATATTCTCTGTATCCTTAACTTATTTTTTCTATTCTAATATGACTTATTGATTCTGAGAGTTGTGTTCAAGACTTCCACTATGATTCCTAGTCGGTTTCTTTTGTTCTATTTCTATTAGTTTTTGCAACGTATATATTGCTTATAGGGCCACCCAAAGCAACGTGTATATATTTGTGTTGTATTTTTAAAACTATGTTTTTAGATGCTTAAAGCTTCACAATTATTTTTATTTTCTTGGTAAATTGTACCTTTGGAATAAAATAGTCATCCTATCTTATTTAATTATTTTTGCTTTTAATTCTATTTTGCCTGATATTAATATTGCTACATCTGCTTTATTTTTGTTAGCATTTATCTGGCATATCTTTTTCCATTCATTTATTTTCCATTTTTGGTGTTTTGTTTTAGTTTCTGCTCTTGTGATTAGCTTATAGCTAGATTTTGTTTTACTACTTAGTGTTTGTCTTAAACAATTGTGGTAAAATACACATAACATAAAATTTACTATATTAATAATTCACTAGTATTAAGTGTATTCACATTGTTGTGCCACCAATCTCCAGAACTTTTTCATCTTGCAAAACGGAAACTCTATACCCATTAAACAACAACTACCCATCCTCCACCCCCCCCCCCCCCCCGCGTATCTGGTAACTACCACTCTATGTCTCTATGAAATTGCCTCTTCTAGGTATCTCATATAGTATTTGTCTTTTTGTGACTGGCTTATTTCACTTAGAATAATGTCCTCAAGGTCATTCCATTTGTAGCATGTGTCAGAATTTTCTTGTTTATTTGAGGCTGAATGGTATTCCATTGTATGTGTTTACCACATTTTGCTAATCCTTTCATCTCTTGGTTGCTTCCATATTTTAGCTATTGTGAATAATGCTTTTTTGAATATGGGTATACAAATATCTCTTTGAGACCTTGCTTTCAATGTTTTTGGGTATATACCCAGAAGTGGAATTTCTAGATGATATGGTAATTCTATTTTTAATTTTTTGAGGAACTGCCATATTGTTTCCCACAACTGTAACATTTTACATTCCCAAAATGGTGTACAAGGTTCCAGTTTCTCCTTATCCTCTCCAACACTTGATATTTTCTGGATTTTTTCTGATAGTAGCAATCATAATGTGTATGAAATCTTAGTCTTTCAATAGGAGGCTTTAACCCATTTATGTTGATTTTGATTACTGATATTTTTGGGGCTGTTTTTGTCATCGTATTTATTTGTTTTTTTTAAAGATTTTATTTTTCCTTTTTCTCTCCAACCTCCCCCCCCCCCCCAGTACATAGTTACATAGTTGTGTATTTTTAGTTGTGTGTCCTTCTAGTTGTGGCATGTGGGACGCCACCTCAGCATGGCTTGATGAACGGTGCCACGTCCCTGCCCAGGATCCAAACTGGCGAAACCCTGGGCTGCCGAAGCGGAGCTGCGAACTTAACCACTTGGCCACAGGGCCAGCCCCTCTCGTCATCTTATTTTGTGTTTGCTATCTTTTATGCTTATTACCTTCCAGCCTCTGCTCCTTTCCTACCTTTTCTTGGATTGACTGAGTTTTTCTTGTTCCTTTTATCTCTCTCAAGACATGGAAGTTACAGATATTATTCCTACTCTGCCTGTGGTAGGTACCTGTAAATTTGGGGGCAACCTTTTATTTAGGTGTAACGTAAATGTGTAGAGGTACACACATCTTAAGTGTATAGCTTGATGAATTTTGACCAACTGAATACACATATAACCAGCACTCAGAACAAGAAACCACCTCTCCAACACTCCAGAATTTGTCCTTCTGCAGCTCACTACCAAAGATAACCACTATCATTTCTAAGACAATAGATTAGTTTTGCCTGTTTGGGTACTTTATAGCAATAGAATCATACAGTATGTACTCTTTTATATAGAGCTTCTTTCCATCAACATTACATTTGTGAGATTTGTACATATTCTTGAGTTTAGTTGTGGTTCATCCATTCTCATTCGTGTATATATTCCATTGTTTCTATAACTGCAATGTAGATATCCATTCTACCTTGATTGGCATTTGGGTTGTTTGCAGTTTTAGGCTATCATGAACAGTGCTGCTGTGAACATTCTGGCATATGTCTTTCTTTGAAGGAGTGTGTGCATTTCTGTTGATGATACACC